CTTCTCGGGTTTCGTCTTCCTCCCCACTTCCCATATTTCCCAATATTTTCTTGGGAATCGACGATGAATTATGTCTGTGTGTCTTTGCTCCCTCCCGAGACATGCCATCCCGCGAGCACTGCCTTGACGACCCCCGTGGCCGGGCGGAGGCCCCCGCGAGGCCCTGGCAGGCCAAGCCCTGGCCCTGACACCGGCCCCTCGCAGACGTGCTGCAGCGGCTTCCCGCGTGGAGCTCTCCGTGGATGTCTGCCCGCAGCGGCGAGGGCGACACATGAGGTGAACTTCGCGCGGACTCTTCTTGGTGTTCACTCCTGGCCAGAAGAGGAATCCGCACGGAACTCACCTCGAGATTCGGAACGAAATCCGCCGGCCCCCTGTTTGTGGGGCCACCAGGCTGTAGGGCGAAGCTTGGCAGTTTCCTGTGCCAGGTGCAGCTTCCAGTTTCCACTGTTACAGTTCTGCTTCTTGCTGCTTGCTGTTCCTTGTTACAGTTCTGCTTCTTGGTGCTTACTGTTCCTTGTTGATGGACCGCGCGAGGAGGGGAGGCCCAAAACGAGCATTTTGACCACGCCCTGGCAGGGTTCTCAAAATTTCTGGGGGGGTGGGGAAATTGACACCCCTCACGCAGATCGGCGGGGTCAGGGTTCAAAAACACACGGGATTTGCCACATTTCTGAAATGTGCTGGCACCCCTCATGCAGATCGGCAGGGTCAGGGTCCAAAAACACAAAGGATTTGCCACACTTCTGACATTCGGTGCCACCCCTCACGCAGATCGGCGGGGTCAAGGTGCTAAAACACAGAGGATTGCGACATTTCTGAAATTCGGCGGCACTCCTCACGCAGATCGGCAGGGTCAGGGTCCAAAAACACACGGGATTTGCCACATTTCTAAAATTCAGTGGCACCGCTCACACGGATCGGCGGGGTCAAGGTCCAAAAACACACGGGATGCGCCACATTTCTAAAATTCGGCGGCACCCCTCACGCAGATCGGCAGGGTCAGGGTCCAAAAACACAAGGGATTTGCTACATTTCTGAAATTCGGCGGCACCCCTCACGCAGATCGGCAGGGTCAGGGTCCAAATACACAGGGGATGTGCCACATTTTTGAAATGCGGCGGCACCCCTCGCGCAGATCCGTAGGGTCAGATTCCAAGAAGCACAAGGGATTTGCCACATTTCGGAAATTCGGTGGCACCCGTGACGCAGATCCGCAGAGGCAGGGCCGAAAAACAAACAGGTCCCGACACTGCTTCACGGCGCCGCCCAGACCTCATGATTTGGCTTTGGCATCTCCCACGATCCGAGACAGGGGGGCGGCGGCATGGGGCGAAGCCCTTACGGTCCTCCAGGACGCCCCGGGCCCACCCGATCGTTTCCCAGACGAAATCCGCTCTGCGATGTGGGCGCCGTGACCCGTGGCCGAGCGAGGGCCCCGAGGCTCCGGCAGGAGGCGACCTCTGGGCCCGCCGGCACCAGGAGCGGGGGGCACCGGGGCGGCCAGGTCTGACTCGCGCTTGCCTGCCAGGGGGTGGACTGGCACGGAACGGAAGTCTGCAAGGGAAGAAGCAGGAGGAGGAGGAGGAGGAGGAGGAGGAGGAGGAGGATAGACGAAGAACGAAAACTCATAAACATAAACGTTTGGCGCTCCACGCGGATTTCTTGGATTCGCGCTGGACCCCCCTCCCTGGCGCGCGGAGCGCGCCAGGGGCGGCGTCAGGAGCGCTGGGGGGCCCAGGCGCGGATCCAAGGAATCCGCGCAGAGCGACAAAAGTTAATGTTCATGTGTTTTTTTTCTTCTTCGAAAGGAGGAGGAGGAGAGAGGAGGAGGAGAGAGGAGGAGAAGAAGACATGGAAGGAACAGCGATCGGCCAGCGAGCCAGATAGGGGATGCCGGACATGGCTCAAATGTCGGTTTGCCACGCGCAGCGCTTGGGGGGGAGAAGGTGCCAGTCGAAAGGCTAGGACGGCTTCGGCCGCCCCTGCGCTTCAGCGACCCAAGGGTGCGGGGAGCACTTTCGGAGGCCAGCAGATACGTTTAAAAATGGAATATCAATGCGGATGCATAGATACGTGTGCATACTTTTTTGATCCGCGGGGCGAGAGCGCACCTCTTCCGATAGAAGCTAAGCGGGCCGCGCACAGCTTTAATCAGCAGAGGAGGGGCAAAAGAAGGCGGGGCCTCACGTCAAGGCCGAGAGAGGGCGAAGCCCTGGGATCAGGCGGTGCCGAAGACGAAATGCTTGCAAAGGGAAAATACGTGTGCATACATACGTAGACCATAGCCCGGCAGTTGCGGAGAAGAGTGGGGAGGCGGCGGCCGAGAGCGTGCTTGAGAGGCCCACCGCAGGCAGGCTCCGCAGGCGCCGAGGCTCCGAACGCGGACAGATCTGCAGCACGTGGCTATAGCTTGATGAAGGGCGCCAGGACCAGGCATAGCCTGCTCTCGCATAGTTGACTCGCAAGCATGCGCGCAGGCAAGCCCACGTATTTTGTGTGCATCGCAGCGCGGCCATCTATGAATCACTGTACTTGTGAGCGTGTCTGATGTCTTGAGGTGCTTGGCCCGTTCCAGTACACACCAGCTCGGTGGAAATAAACATATCCACTTTCTGACTTGCGTCCCATACGAAAACGTTGCTTCCAACCATCCTGTGGTGTTGGGTCCTCGCTCTTAAGGAACAGTGCCCTGCGTCCACTCCTCACATCTCCTCCCCCTCCTCCCACCTCCCATTTCTGCCTTTGCTCGCAAGCGTGCCGTCATGAGTCCGCCCACCAATTTCGGCACACCCATTACACGGTTCGTGGCAACATAGGAAACTCCACCGAAGGCCTCAGTGGCAGAGTCCGCATGCGCCCCCACGCTCTTTGTGGCACACCCCTCACACGGTTCGTTGCCCTGTAGGGAGCTCTGCACGCATGCGCCCCCCCTCCCAGGTTGGCAGACCCCTCACACGGTTCGTGGCACCATAGGGAGCTCCACCGAAGGCCCTAATGGCAGGGTCCGTATGTGTCCCCCACCCATTTTGGTACACCCCTCACACGGTTTGTGGCCCTGTTGGGAGCTCCACCGAAGGCGCCAGTGGCAAGGTCCGCATGCCACACGGTTCTTGTCTCCATTGGGAGCTCCACCGAAGGCGCCAACGGCAGGGCTTGCATGCGTCCCCAAACCATGCTGGCGCACCCCTCACACGGCTCGTGGCCCCACAAGGAGCTCCACCGAAGGCCCCAGTGGCAGGGCCCGCATGCGTCCCCCCGCATACGGTGGCACTCTCAATGCATGGCTCGTGACCGAGCGGCACACACAACGCGGTGCCTGCTTGGAGAGTCTTCCGCCAGGATCACTTGTCGAAGCCTGGCCGTGGAGGAATCAGGGCTGCTGTGGCGACGCGCGTAGGGGGCGTCCACCCTTATGTTGTTCCCATCGTACTCCGAGCACTCAGAAAAGTGTCGAAACAGAATCGAGACAATGTCGAACGAGTGCCCCCCAGGGCCCGATACGTGAAAACCCTCTAGTTCTGGCACTCCCTTGGTGCTCGACATTCTTCCTGGTGGCCAAGGCTACACTAGGGTGGAACATCATCAGCCCACGGGAGCCCCGCCCTCCCCACGGCATCGATGATACCATATGTCCTGGCTCGACGCAGGCGGGGTGGCGCGAGGACGGCGCGCAGCTTCTGCGGACGCCGCGGGGCCCACCGCGCGACTCTGCTTGGGCGGCCACGCGCTGGGAGGTCTGCCCTGGGGCTTTGCCGTGCCCCTGCTCGTCATCATGTGTCACGTGTGCGGAGCTGCACTGTGAATGCCGCGCTTTCCTGTGGCTTCGCTGCGCTCCTGCTCGCAACGCGCACCTACCAGGAGGCGGCGGAGAGCTTGAGAGATCCACCTACCGAAAGGGCCGCCACGCTCTGGGACTTCTGCCTAGCTGGAGTCCTGTCAACTGGGGCCAGAGCAGATGGGATCGGAGAGTCGCGCAGCATCGCCGATGCATCGGCGAAGCACCGGCGACGTGCAGGCGAGGAGCACTGGGCTACGGATGGCGCCGCTTCGCCGATGCAACGGCGATGCCGCGCCATCCACCGACCCCATCTACTCTGGCTTGACCGCCTTCTCCGTCTCCACTGCTTGGTCATTTCTCAATTGTGTTCCTCCCTCTCCGCGGACTCGGATATGGGGTGGGCTTGAATCGGCGAGAAATCTGCTGGGAAGCCCTGAGAACTTCAACTCTGTCAGGTCCTGGCGACTTTGAGATTCTCTAGTCTTCTGAACAATATCCAAAACTTCCGCAACAACTCATCACGATTCCCCACCCTTCTTGAGAAAGGATGGAAACAGTGATGATGCCGGCCGGAGACTGCTGAAAGCGTCGGGGAAAAGATGGGCCCTGCCAAGGAATCGATCTGAGTCGCTGAAGGCCTCGGAATCGAACAACCTTTGAACGAAACAGGCAGCGCTTGACATGGAGGCTTCCGAACCTTTGCGACTCTTGAACCTTTGCTCTTGAACCAAGGACAGCCAAGCCAAGCGCAGAACTCATTATCGCATGCTACGAGAAAGCGAACAGTCACGGGTGGCCAATAATAACCAGTAACGAGCAGCGACCTTCGACAATCAAAAACAATGCATGGGCATCCGCTCCTGCATCGGATGTTCTTTTCGTGCCGAACATCGCACCCACATCTCTGCAGAGACCTCAGCGCACTGCGGCAGGTGCTCTAGACGACTGACTGTGGAACTGCCTCGAGACCAGATCTCTAGACCAAACAATTCGGTTACATCAAGCACCCAGGCGCAGAAATCCCTCGAGACTGCGGCAAGGATCTCGATGGGCAGCGTGAAGCCGTTTCGGCCGTGAAGCGCCGGGATCGCCGCCGCGCCAACACCCGCTTGGAGGACACCGTGGCGCACGATACCAGAATTTGCAGGAAACGGGCGAGAACGCCTCTGAGACCGAGACCCCCAGGTCGACCGTTCTGCCCTCGCCGTTACAGCCTGGC